GTCATTGTCCCCCCAGAACCCCGAAAACCTTGCCCGTGGTGACGGGACTCCTGCTCTAAACCTCATCCGTGACCACCAGGAGTCCACAGCACCAGCCAGAGGCCAGGGGGGTGGCTGGCAGTGGAACAACACGGTCACAGCCAGGCACACCCACCCCCCTCAGGACTGCAGCCTGGGGGAAAGCACAGTGGGGACAGGACAGCTGCCATAAGAACAGGGCCAGAAGGGCGGCTAGAGACTGACAGGGGAGCTGTGGGGGACTCGAGGACGTGTCCTGATGTGGGAACGTTCCACGAGGCAAGAGGGTGAGGTGACACCTGCACGCTTGACCCGAGGCCCTGTTCAGCTGGCTTGCTCTGCTTCCCTGAGGAGGGCCCACGGTGTCCCCAGGGAAAGGGCACCTGCCCGCTCACAGACACTGCAGCCTCCTGCAGGGCCAGAAGTCGGCCGCAGTACTTGGGAGCTGGCAGGTGAGCCTGAGGGGCCGCCCAGGCCAACCCTTCATTTCTCAGATGGGGAATCGGCCACAGGGCGTCACCTCTGCAGTCCTGAGGTCAAGGCCTCTGTAACCCTGAGGTCAAGACCACGGGTCGGTAGCCTCCAGGAAAGGTGTTTGTGAAACCCGCACCAAGACTATCCTCGCTCCTAGTCCTAGCATCACGGACAGAAACTTCCTGAAACGGCGTAAAACTGTGGGCACTGTCCTGATGCAAAAGATGAAGCATACCGCACGACCTCCTGGGAACGCCCATGACCCTGATGGGTGCCAACGACTGAGCAGCGCAAACACCCTGTAGCCGACTGATGCAAGTACACAGAACGCTGGAGAGAGAAGTCTGGGAGGGGATGCTGGCATGAGGGGGCCACTGGGCGGGGCGCGGCCAGCCTTACTTTTCCGAGTCCAGGGCGATGAGAGCGCTTTCCAAGGTCTCCTTCCCGGGTCCCGGCCTTGCCAGCCCGGCCGGCCCCGTGGGGTCGAAGCTCTCGGCGGCTGCGGGGACCGAGCTCTGTGGCTTGTCATCCTCTGAGAGCGGGGCTCCAGCAGCACTGCAAGGGGGAGGCACAGGGGGGGTGCCCCGCTCAGAGCCCGAGCCGCCCCGCGGAGGGGCCACCGACAGGCGGACACAGTTCCCGCGCCCTGCCACGCTCGCTGCCTGCGGGTCCCAAGGTCCACGGGCACACCTGCCCCGCTCACGAGGCACGTCGGGCCGCACGCCTGCCCTGGCGGTGAGCTTCGGGGCGGGCCCCGCAGAGGGACGCCACTGCAATGCCGTTTCGAATCGCACCTGCCTGACAGCTAGAGGTTTAGCACAGAATAACACGAAGGCACCAACTCCCTTGCAACACTCATTTTTGACACGTCTGTAACTTAAGTCTCTTATTGACCTTCGGAGAAGTTTACGGCTGGCTTCCCTTCCGTCAGGGTGACGTTCATGAAGTGCTCTTCCCCAGGGGAGCTGCTGGGTTCTGCTGCTGTTCTGAAAGGCTGTCTTTCATCGTTTTACTTTCTAGCTGGACACTGCTGGTAGGGAACGCGGCTACCAACCTCCAGCGCCCCTGTCTCATCTGATTCTCTTACTGACTCCTTTTGCCTCTGCGAGTTTTCCAGCTGTTTCTACCCAATTCTTTTAGGAAGGACATCACGTGCTTCCCTCATGAACGCCCTCTTTTTAGATTCCTGTGGGACCGTATGCTACTGACAGAAAATACCGTAACGTCACATCACTTAGGACAGTGATGCTGGTTCGGAAATAGGCGAATGAATCTAAGAAAGCCAGCAGAAAAAGGCCTGTGCCCATGGCGGTGAGTGAGCGCGTCTCAGTGTGGTAACGTCGGGGCCCACGTGCGTGGGAACCACCTGGCAGACCTCTGGACGGGAGCGGAAGCAGCTGCATTAGACCGACGGCAGGTGCGGCGCGTGCCGGCGAGCTGGACGCGTACCTGCCCGTGGTGGTGTCGGCCCTGCCCTCCAGAGTGCAGCTCTTCTCCAGCCCGGGGCCCAGGGTCACGGTGGAGGTCGTGTCTGCTTTTGCGATCGTCACCTCTTTGGCCTTGGAGGCCTCCTCCCCACAGTGGGGACAGTAGCTGGCGTTGTTGACTCGAGAGGCACAGTCTCTGTGGAAGCGGTGGGAGATGCCGCTCTCGGGCTGACACTCCATGAAGTTGCCCTGCACGTGGGAGACGGGGTTCCTTTCCGCAAAACTGGGGCTCAGGCGCAGAGAAGCAACCAGACTGCTGCTGACTGCACGTGAGCGGGCGGTCGTGGGGGAGGGGACCCGTGTCCGGCGTGCGCACGGTCAGCAGCAGGCCCGCCCACAGCACCCCACATCAGCGTGCCCACACGCTGCGCCCAGGAGGCCAGACCCGCTGGCCGCTGTCCTAACCCGGGGACAGGCCAGAAAACGGGTGGTGTGGACAGCGCGCCCAGAGGAGGGCGCCATCGACAGCGCCCGCGAGCCCAGCTCCCCACTGCACCGTGGCGTTTCCGCGGACCCGGTGACCTCAGGGGACCAAGGCGTGAGCCTTGAGCAGGATAAGCCAGAGGCCCGCAGAGAAGCTGCTGCCCTCCTCTCCGGCAGGAGGACGAGGGGGTGTCGCCAGGGCGAGGAGCACAGGCGTGGCAGCAAGTGGCCCCAGTGGGAGGAGCTTCGGCTGTGGCATGGGGAACGATAGGCTCCGGGGAAGGGCACCAGGGCACTGAAGGAAGTGGCCCAAAAAGAAACAGGAAGGAGGCGTCAAGAGGCAGAGCAGGCCCCTCCTGAGACAGAGGCCGCTGCGTGCTCAGACTCGAGGCTGACAGCGAGCAGCAGGAGGGGGCGAGGGGGCCAGGGCACCCGCTTCACTGCTCCCAGCTGTCCCTAGGAGGCCCACAGGCAGGGCCAAGGGAGCACGCTCTGTGGGCAGCGATGCAGAGCAGAGCCTTCCATGGGAGCCTGACTCGGGAGGGTGCTGGGACGCACGTGGCACGTGACTCAGCCACGAGTGCACGCAGCTCACTGCCAGGGCGGGCCGGCACTTACCGCCGTGCAGAAGTAGCCGCAGCCAGGACAGCACTGGTGCTTCACCATCCGGCCCCGGTGGTCTTCACACAGCACCAGGAGGGGCGCCCTGCTGGACGGGCGCATGAGCTCATGCTTGACCACGCTGTTGGTGCACCTGCCCAGCTGGAGCCAGACAGACCAGGGTCAGGGGGTCGAGGCACCTCAGGCGGCATGCAAAGGGGAGGCAGGGCATCGTCCTCCGCACGCCCACCATAAGGGGATGCTTGGCGTGGCGGGGCAGCCACACACACAGGGTCAGAGCAGCAGGTGGGTATCGAAGAGAACGTCCTGGGCAAGAGGGGGTCTGGGAGAGACAGGCCGGGCTGGACAGGCAGATGTCACGGGCCAGCATTGGGGGTGCACAGTGAATCCATGGGACTCACAAGTGGTCGGGGCCACCAGAGCAAACGCCAAACCCAGGGCTACTGTTTAGGCTACCTGCACAGTGACAGGCCGGACTCACTCCAGACACACTGCGGCGCAGCCCGGCAGCAGCCGACCTCAAGCCTCGGATAAGGACCCTCACTTCCTGCCCAGCGACTGGTCAGCTGATGCAGCCTGCACCACATCCCCAGATGCAGGCAAGGTCAGTGAGCTCATGGGCGGGGTCGTGGGCCACCTGCCCAGAGCCCTACCTTCCTTGTCTGAATCCTGCTCGAGGGATCACACCCTCCAGTGAAACGATGGCACAGGGGACCCTGAGACAGAGGGCAGAGAGAAAGCAAATGAGCCACGACCAGCTGAGCTCCGAAGAGAACAGAGATGGGGCAGAGAAAGAAGAACGTGTGAAAGACGCTGTCGCCAACACGCTTGGAGAATCGGGCCTCGTGGCAACTCCGAGACTGGCCCCGGAGGCTGTGAAGGAAGACACACCAGGGAACGAAGACGAGCCCTCGGAACTGGGAACCAGGGAGAGAAAATGAGCGTTGAAATGCTGGAGACAGGAGACGTTTTTTGAAGTAAAGCAAAAAGTCAAAAACGTGGAACAAGGAAGTATGTCTCGAGAACTGAAGGGCACGCCTGTCCCCGCCTCTGAGATGACATCCAGCAGCCCCCACAAGCAGACGGCACACAGGACCTGGGACTGAGGGACAAAGGTGCCACACAACGAAAACAGAAGAGAGAGGGCCAGCCGCGGGGCTAAAGGGCAACACACCCCGCCCAGAGCTCCCTGCCAGCCGGAGCGCCAGTTACAGAAGGCAAGACGTTCACAGAGAACAGAGCCGGCCATCTGCCTCCCAAGCAGCCTTTCTGAAGCAGCCACTGGAGGCTACGCACCAACTCGGAAAAGCTATGTGACCCAGAGGGAGACCTGATGGGTCTGAAGACCCTGACGGGACGTGTGGTCCCGCCCGCCTGGGACCGAGTCTGTAACAGGTGCAAAGAAAACAGACAGTGGGAGATGAGGCGATCGCTAACGGGAGGGAGACAAAGTGGCCGAGAAAGGAAGCGGAACCCAGCACAGCGCTTGCTCGTGGTGGGCGCCCGGAGCACGCTGGGAGCATCTCAAACGCTGTTTCCACCGGAATAAGGACAGGGCGCAGACGGTGGTGGGGGAAGTGGGAGGAGTGGGCCGTGCGGCTCAGTCACAGACCAGAAAGTCAAGACGGGACCATCGGAAGCACCGCTATTCATTAAACAGAGAGAGAGAAGCACCAGAGGAAAAAGTTAAACGAGGTCGAAGGCCTGCCTTGGGGAGGGCACTGGGAGAGCCAGAGCGATGAGGTGGCACGGACGACACCAGGAATTCTTAGGTGACAGCAGCCCAACCTGAGATCTGACAACACCCACGACATTGCGGTTGTCACAAGCAGGGGCCAAGATGCTGCTAAGCGTCCACCAGCAAACAGGCCAGACCCCCTCTACGAAGAACCATTTGGTCCCACATATCGGCAGCACCGGGTTGGAGAGGTCCTGCACAGGAGTTCGGACCCGCAGATGGCCCGACGCTGTGCTCCCGGACTGGGAGTGTCGGGGAGTGCAAGGGGAACGCTGGACACAAAAGCTACTCGGACGTGTGCTCAACAGGGACGGCGAAACCACTGAATTTGCAAACGGTCAGGAGACAGAATCTAAACCTAAAGCACGAAGACAAGAAGGAGCAGAGCACCCACCGGCTACGAGCCCAAGCACCCGCACGCACGTGGCTGGCGTCCCCACAAAGAGGAGGAGGAACAGGCTGAAGAGTCAAGACACCTGGCGAGAATTTTCTAGAACCAATGAGATATCAGATCCAAGTCCAAGAAGCTCAGAGGAATCCAGTGAGGATAAATAAACACCGAAAGAGAAAACCAAAGAGCACAGCAGAACCACCACCCCAGGCCCAAGGACACGGGAAAACCCCGGGGGCCCCCAAGGACACCTGCTGCCACACACAGAGGGGCAAGGACCCGCGTGACACTGCCTCTCGTGGAGAAACCACAGAAAATCACACTGGGCGACGTCTTTTAAATGCCAAAAATTCTGTATCCATGACGATAGCTTTCAAAAGTGAATGCAAAACAAGGGCTTTTTCAAACAAGCAGAAGTGAGAGAATTCACATCAGCGGACCGTGCCACAGGGAAGGGCACAGCGAGAAGCCTGCGCCTGGGCACAGACAGCTCTCGCACCCCGTCTGCCCGAAGGTGAACGGAAGACCGTTTCGTCAGTCTGAAAAACAACGATCTAAAGCAATAACGAGAGCCACATACTGTGGGGTTTAGCGTATATAAAAATAAAATGTATGACGACGGGAGAGAGGATTTGCAGCCACGTTACTATGAGATTGTACGTTCAGTGGCATAGCACCAGCTGAAAGTGGGCTGTGATCAATTAAAAATACGCACTGTAAACCCCAGGACGACCACTGAAAACATCAGAAAAAGATGTAAACCATCAAGCCAATAGTGGAATAAAAAGCAGATCGTACAAAACTTCGTTCTGAAAGACTGAAAATGAAGAAAAACCAGACGGCATGAACCTTCACTGGGTTCAAGCTTCCGAATGCCCTCCGACTACATCAGCGATGACGTTACGTGAGAACGGCCGAAGTGCCCCAATAAAAAGGGAGATTTCAGAGCATGTAAAAGCAGAAGCAGACCACGGGCTCCCGAAAGAAACCCCTCAGGGTTAAAGGCAGACAGGCGTGGAGAGAGGGTGGGAATGCGCACGGGGCGAACGCGACCCAGGAAAGCCAGAGGGTGGCACTGGAATCAGACCGCGAGCTCTCGGAACAGAGTTTTAACAGGGACGCCGAGGGACAACAGCAGTCAGTTCGCTGAGAAGACGTGTTTGTGAGAGGGGACACCCCCAACTGGCGGTGGCCGACACGCCCCCTTCAGGAACGGACCAGGAGCCGGAAGAGCAGGCTCCTGGCGGGGTCGGTGGTCACAGGACTGTATGCATTTGCCAGAACCCCTCACTACACTGGAAGAAGGTGACTTCCACTGGTGTGAACTGTGCCTCGATAACGCTGACTAAAGGAAACAGAAAGACGAAGGACCCTGACTTGCAAAAAGTTTCTACCAGCTAAAGATGAGATGAGATGAGATGAACATCAAAAAACAAAAATAATAGGGGAAACAGCAGTGGCCCCAGAATTTCCCAGAATCCCACATAAAACGGACAGAGCAACTAGACACCAAACCGAAACCCACAGAGGACACGTACAGCAAACCTAGGTCACCACGGCCGCAGACAGCGGGTGGCAGCAGGCCCCGTCTTGCCATGAGACCAGCATGGCACGTGCCTGGGCGGTGGGAGGAGGCAGGCGAGGCAATGGCTCGTGGGCCCACGGACAGGCCACCACAGAACCACGACGGCTGGCAGGGAAGCGTGGGCGACGCGCGCAGGCCCCCCAACCCCGGCGAGCCCGCGGGCTGTGGGAAGCAGCCATGTAGCCCGCCTGCGCCCTGTCCTGTCCAGGGCACAGGGACACCAGGGCAGAGCCGCCGAGGTGAGCCAAAGCTGAACGGGAGAAGCGAAGAGGAGCGGGCGCCCGGCAGCTCCGCAAACCTCTGGCTTCGGGCCCTTCGGTCACAGCCGCGGGGCTGCTGAGGGGCCAAAGAGCTTGCGAAGCTGGGCCCATCTCCTGATGCCCACCGCCCGGAAAACTAGAAATGGTTCCAGCACGAATTCATTCTAAAATAACAACAAGCCTATCGTATGGCAACGTAACACAGCCTATTTTAACGAAAACGATATTTTCCAAAACAAAAAAAATTGAACAAGGCGCGCGGCATGATTCCCTATTGTCTGCAAAGCCCTGCCGTCTGCTGTGCGGCACGGCGGGTCCTCACGCCAGCTCCTGCGCTGGGCAGGACCCAGGTGCGCCCTACAGGCACGTGCCCACCGCCACCGTGCTCGCTCCCGAGACGGCTGCACAGGGGTCTGGGCGCCAGTTGCAGCTTGACAGCTGTTGTAGTGGCATCCACGGATGTGTCCTGCCCTCTGAGTGACTCCGTCACACTGTGGAATGACCAACTGCCCGGGCTCCACTCGTACAGAATGACACCGTGCCTGGAGAGGGACTCAAAGTCATGTGACCCTCAGTGTCGCGAGAACAGTGGGGACCCCGAAGGCCTGCGCGTCCACGATCACGGCGGCAGGCACACAACGCCAAGCCCACATCGGTCACGCACACACGTTACTAACAGCGCTTCACGGGACGGACTGGTCAGCCTCACAGGTGACAGAGAACAGTTCACTTTCTGAAAGACTGGGAGACGGAGAGAGCTCAAACGTCCACCCTGTGTGTCCTCTGTGACACGTGCCCTGGGGAATGACAGCACGTGAGGAGACGAGTCTCCTTATGAAACCGTCCCCACTCACAAGTGAACAGGAAAACTGCAAACTGGCACAGGCATTAAGAGCCAATGGCTGCCAACATCAGGAACAGAGAGACAACGGATGACACGTGCCGCCCGGGGCTAGCCTCCCCGAGCGGCTTGTGAAGGGCCGAGCTGGGCCTGGCCCCACACGTGCCACGTGGCAGCGGGGCAGGGAGAGCGGCCAGGGCATCCGCAGACTCTGAGCGTGAGGCCCAGTGGCCCGCACTGTCACAGGCACACTGAGGGAGGACGGGGAGGGAGGGTGCACGCGGATGGAAGGCAGCGGCAGCAGCGTGCCGGGCCGCACTGCGAATGGGGACTACGTGGCCAAAACGGGGAGCGGACACTGCAGGGGCCCGTCCCACGTCCTAGCCCCGGGGCAGCCACAGTGCTCACCCTGGACAGACTCATGAAGACAAATGTCTGTCTCGTATGCTTTCTAGGTCTGTTTCATTCACGACAAAAGTTTACAACACACTGAATACAGAAAAGCCCATGAGTTCCCAAGATGCTGGAGAGAGGGGAAGGAGGAAAATCAAAATCAGAAACAAAATCAAGTTACCGGGCACCGACTTATTACTCTGAAAAACGAAGAAAAGACCAGGAAGCAGCTACCTATTCCGTCTGTCCAGGATGAAGAGCGTTTGAGGAGCGCCAAACAGCCCAGCAGACAGGGCGAGTCCCCTGGGCCAGAGAAGTCAGCCGCAACTGCAAAATCGCCACTTTGCAACTGCTCATGAGATGACAGGCGCAGGCCGGGGTGGCTGAGGGTGGCGGCACCATCGGGCAAAGACGGAGGGGCTGAGGGGCAGGCGGTGGCCCACGAACGCGACACCCCTCGGCGCGGCTGGTGCAGGCGTGCGCACGGCGCCCTCCACAGCGCTCTCGCCGAAATGACATCGAAATGAAATGAAAATCTGCTCAAGTCTCCAAAGTCACTTGTCAGGCTCCAGAACTAGGGGTGACTTAGCAAAAACACAACCCATCGGCCCGTCCAGGGTCTGGGACAGTGCACTGTCCACCCACCCGGTCAAGTCAGCAGCATGCGGGTGGAGAGGACGGGGAGCCTGTTTTGGGTTAAGAGAGATAAAAAGCCAGGACACACTACAACAAATAGAATGCACGGAACTTTGGGAGGAAAACTGTAAAAAGACAGTTTTTCACAAATGCTTCTGACTACGAATGAGGCATTACATAACAGGAATCCGCTGTCGTCCCTGTCACGTGGGAACAGCGCACACTGAGACACTCGATGGTGAGTGGGGCCTGCTCTAAAGCGCCAGCTCACTGCTAAGAGGAGGGCGGGGCGGGCCACAGCGCTGCGGAGGGCGGAGCGGGCACAGGTTTTGGAGGGAGGTGCCCTCTGTCACTGTGAAAAACGCTTCTTCACAGAGGTGAACAGGGTCTGAGGACAGGCTGTGTGTCAAATACCGAACACGTGGCAAGTAACGTCAGCGCCTGAGGCTGCATTCTGCTGCTGTGACCTGCCCACGTCTGAATTCACAGCAAAGGAGAAAAATCTTGGACAAAGCAAGCAGGAGCCCAGCAGAGACCGACCGGACCGGCCGTCCACACCCAGGACCTGGCAGCGCGCGCCTCTCTGAGAGCTTAAGCCGGCCTGGGCTTCCGCCCTCGCTCGCCGCACGGCTGCCACCCGCTCTGCCAGGCCGGCGCAGTCTGCCTGCAGGGCTCCCAGGCCGAGCGGCTGGCACTCGCGTGGAGCGCCGCCTGGCTCCTGGATGCTGTGAACGGGCGGGCACTGCTTACCTCGTGGTCCACACTCTCTGTGGCCATGCACTGGTTGTTGGCCAGGGTGGTGATCTCGCGGCTCTTCGGGGTTTCCATTCGGCAGCTGCAGAGGGGCACCTCCTGGAGGCCATCCGTCTCCACCGCGTCTGGACCATTGGCCAGCCCTAGAGTCACACAGACACCCGCGAGCATCACTAGCAGCAAAACACATGCCCGATGGGCCCTCAGCGCATCGCTGACACACAATGCCCGCCATAAAGGGCAGTCCAGAAAGCGACCGACCACAGTCTGCAGAACCTTCAAGGGCCGGAAGTGCAAGCAGCACCTGTGCTTTCGTTGGCACGACACCAATGAGACAGGAAGGGGGCCCCCAACCCGCACTCCCCCGCCGGGCCCCAGACAAGGATCTGTTCACCCACGTTCTCGGAGGCCAGGACAGAGGTTCCGAGAGAGACTGCGCCTCTTGAGCGACTCCCAAACCTTTCGTTTTTCACACAGAAAAGCACGCCCTACAAGTGGACACCTTGTTTCCCTCACTTGGTTCTAGAATTTCAGCCACAAAAACAAACGCTCAGTTCCTTGCCGGGTAAGACACCCTCACTGCGACAGTGAGGAGCCTTCGGTCAGGAGGGCGAGGGGCAGAAGGTGGCGCTCGGCACCCCCACTTCACAGGGAGTGTCAGGCTGGGCGACGCAGGGAGAGGCCTGCAGCCGGTCTGCGTGCAGCTAGCCAGCGCCACCCCAGGCCGGCTGCTGGCAAGGCTCCTCGCCCTGGCCCGCCGCTGCAAGGCGCACTGCTCCGCACAGGCAGGCTCGTCCCACGCTCTCTTGTGAAATGGCCCAAGCAGGAATATGGGGCGCATCAGCCACCACACACGGTCCCTCTCCTAGTTAAGAATACTCGACGTGTGTCTCCACACCTGAAAGCGAGCCCACGCTGCGTCAGAGGGCTCTCTCTAGGTATTCCTCCCTAACCTGTCGGCAATCTGAGGTTGGTCAGAGCCAGAGGACACTCGGGACACTGTCAGCCCACGGCTGACGGCAGGAGCCTGGTGCCTGTGCAGGAACGAGGCAGGACGGCAAGGCTACCTGGTGATGCCGCCAGTGCCCAGCAGAGTGACCCACACCCCACGCATCAACGCCATCCCTCGTGCCAACAGAGGATACTGCGCATGGGAACCACACATTTAAAACCAGGGGCCTTCACGTGGACCCCACTCAGCAACTTGATTTTCAAACAAGGGAGAGACAGACCGCGGAGGGGCCGGCTGCCTCGGCCGCGTGGCCAGCGGGAGGCAGGTTAGGGTTCGGGCGCACAGGTCTGTCCCATACACACTCGCACAACGTGGCAGTGGCTCTGCCATCTCCTGAACTTACAAGGGGCCCCTGAATGCCATCCCCCTCCATCTCCATGACGATAAGGGGTCTGGGGTGCCAGGCCACAGATTCCCTGAACGCAGGACGTCCCATTCCATCTCTCTGGCTTCTCACCTTCGACCCCAGGGTCACAGTGGCCAAGGTGCCCTGATAAGACGAAATACTACTTCCTGCTTGCATGTGACTCTGTAACTTCTTGAGCCAAATCTAAAAACAGGTCTAGAAAAATTAAGCACACAGCTGTCACTGCACCTGGACAGAGAGCGTGAGCTGACTGCTGAGGGGCCTGTCACACCCCAGAGGGCTCTGTGCTCCACCTGGTGCGAGAGGAAATCAGTCCTTCCTCTGCTGACTCAGCTGTAACTTACGTCTTAAGCCAAAGACGAGGTTTCCTGAATAAAGAAGGTGACTGAAATTCCTCAGGTGCTCCAAATCCTAAGAAGCCAGTTTATCTGTGCTTTAAAAAGAGACTGGTCAAACCCCTGCAGCAGTCCACATCCCGCGGCCACAACGCCCACGTGGAACACAAGTGACCGTGGGGCGTCCCATTTCTTCCACGTTACACTTTGAATAGTTTTCCCAAACTGCCAACGCTGTTAGTTACGTTTCACTGACGAAGCCTTAAAACGGATTAAGAAGAGAAAAGACTGGTGGAAAGTGTGGGCGATGACCCACGAGTCCTCGCACCAGGAGGCTGGCCCAGGCCCCCTGCCCAGGGCCGAGACCCCCAAGGGCTGAGATGCACCTGCTCCAAGTGCGTATTTCATTCCGCTGCAGGACACGTCTGAGCGCCGTCAGCTCGGCTCTGACAGGAGATCAGATCTCCGCCCAGCACAGCGAGGCTGGGGCAGCAGCGTCTCAGCAGCACGCCCCGTGCGTGTCTGAGACGCGGCCAGGGCAGAAGAGGCCTCTCTAGCAGCTCTGCAGGAGTGTGCCCGACCCACGACCTCCACGCCCAGATCTCTCCCCAGATGCCTACTGCTTCATGCCCAGAGGGCGTCCTTGCTTGGAGGCTGCGGTGACAGACACATGCCATCGTCTGGGGAAGCCGCTAGGCACACGGCCGCATGGCCCCCTTGGGGCCGCAGGCTGACAGGACACTGACGTGCCGGCCCCGTCAGCGCGAGGCTCACCTTCTGCTTGCGAGGGCGGCGTCCCCTTGACACGCAGGTCCAGGGAGTCTAGAGACACCTCCACGTATGCTGCGCCGTCCCCAGGTGCCGCCTGCTCTGCGCTTCCTGAAGACGACGCGTAGGCTTCAGAACCTGCATTAAAAAAGGCATGGCCGTGACCCTGCACGGAGACGGCCCCGGCCTGGTGTGCGCACCATGCCACACCGACAGGCTGAGTCACACGTCCAGGCCCCACCCCGTCAGTGCCATTCCGTTTCCCGTGTGCCATTCTGCTAATGCCACGATTCCCATGTGACATGCATAGGTGTGGGGGGGGGCGGTCTGAATCGAGAAAAATGAAGGCAGAGACGTGCGGGACACCTTTCCCTCATCACGTCATCGAGGAAGCGGACGCCGATGGTGTGTACACTCTGTGACGACCACTCCGAAAGAAAAGAAAACAAACGGACGAGGTGCACAGACTGGCTGACGTAAGGCAGCCTCCGACCCCGGGGACCAGGGCTGCTGGGACGCGGCCGCCACTCGTGCTGGCTTACAAAGCGGGCGGCTCACCAGAGGGCACCACAACCTGAACAGGCCCAGGAGAAGGCGGGTACGCAAATGAGGGGCCTGTGACGTGGGTTCCAAAGGGCCCAGCTGGGGACTCGCCACTGTCTGCGTCCCACTGAGGAATCTGTGGAAAGTGTGCGCCAACGCAGGGCAAACGCCCGTGCCCCACAGGCAGGGAAGCTTCTGGACACTGGTCGTCGATGGACACAGATGGCTGGACGGATGGAACAGACCACAAGCCCAGAAACGACCCTCACGCTATCATCACAAGTTCAACAAGTGAATGGAGAAAGGAAGTCAGTCCAGCCAATGGTGCTGGGACAAGCAGACGTCCACACGCAGGCTATGAGCCGGACCCCACCTCACGCCACACACGGAAACTTACTCACGCGCGAGGGCTAAAACTGCAGAGCCTCGAGAGGAAAGAATAGCACAAAATCTCTGTGACCTCAGTGAGCTGGTCAAAGGCTTCTGTGATCACGAAGAGCACGAATTTTGAAAAACCAAAAATCATCATAAATTAGACTTCAACAAAATCTCTAAAATTTTTGCTAGGTGCACGTTTGCAAAAGCAAGAGTCTGACCAGAGTTGTGTCTAGAACACTTGAGAGAACGCAGAAGCTCAGGGGGGCACGCGACCTGACTTCACACGAGCAGAAGACAGCACCTCCGGGTGCACAGGGAAGGTGATGACGGTCCACCAGGAAGCCAGTGTCACAAGAGCTTCGCCGGAAGAAAGCCACTTTAGGGTCACTGGAGTGCCTCAACAGCAATTTCAAGCATTTTTTCCTCTGCAGAGGAGACACGCCAAGGCTGAGACGCCAGCCTCGCCGCTCGTCGGGGAAATGCAGAGCGAGACAAGGCGGGGCAGCGCTGCACGTCCACTAGCAGCGTCAGGATCAAAGACTGGCTGTGACCAGCGCAGCCAAGGACAGAGGCCGGGCGTCTCTGCACACTGCGAGGACAGGAAGAGGGCGCTCACTGCAGAAACCGCTTCCTAAAATGAGATCTGGCCACTCTAGCCCTGAATACCTGCCCCAAACAAGAGAGTCTGCCAGCTGAGACTGCACACACTCACAGCAGCTTCATCTGCAATCGCCCCAACTTGGCAGGAGCCCACAGTCCCCCGGCAGGCAATGGGCAAGCCCGCTGTCGAAGAGTGCTGGCCTGCCCCTGCCTGGCCCACTGTCGATATGGACGGCAACCTGGTCTCCCGGTTCTGTACAAAGCAACCAGAGGGCGGAAGGGCAGCTGCCCAATGGCCATACACGGCAAGGCCCACACGCTAAGCCATCCGCAGGGACAAAGCGGAGCAGAGGCACCTACAGATAGGAGGGCCGGCAGGCGCATGGGTCCTGTGGGTGCTGGGCGCTCACGACAGCGAGTGTGCTGGAGGTCTCGCGGCCAGATGCACGAGAGCCGAGTGCCTGGCTTATGCACGCTTTAGCAGTGCCGAGGCTCCGAAACAGCTGCCAGAGGCTCCTGGCCGCCAGGCCTGCTCGCCTGCCGAGGGTGAGGGCCACGCTCTGCTACACGCCCGTGAACGAAATCGCTCCGGAGCAGGCACTCCAACAAAAGGCCAGGAGCCACCTAGGGGCCCGGGTTGCTGCCCACCCAGGACGCTGAGGCTCCACGCAGGGCACGGACCTCCGGGTGCACAGGGAAGGTGATGACGGTCCACCAGGAAGCCAGTGTCACAAGAGCTTCGCCGGAAGAAAGCCACTTTAGGGTCACTGGAGTGCCTCAACAGCAATTTCAAGCATTTTTTCCTTTTAACAGTGGAGCTCCCTTTTCAAGTGAAATCGAACTGAGAACTGTCCCTGTCCCCACTTCCCGCCCCACCTCGGGGATGCCAGTGTGGGCCCCGCGTTTACCCAGCATGCTGCTTTGCCTCTTCCTGCTTCTCCGCCGCCTCTTCCTGGCCGGCTTGACCCAAGGGCTGTCAGGCTTCCCTTTCCTCCTGAGAAGCTTCCTCTTGATGCTGGATTCGGAGCTCTGAGAACCAAAGGGGCGAGAAGAGAAGAGAAAAGCAAACATGGGAGCTCCCAAAAGCAACAAGTGCTGCAAGGTTCGTTTTCTTGCAAAATAGGATGCTACCACCTGGTTCTGCAGCCGGGAGACTGACCCCGGGTCACTCAGGGTCACGTTCTCAGACACCCAGGCTTTTCTCAAACGTCGCCCTAGCTCAGTTATTTTACAGGCAAAAAACAAGAAGAGCAGAAAAAACACACGTGGACTTTGTAAATGTCATTTGGGTCCATGTAAGAATGAGCGCAAGGTCGCACTCAGGACCCAAGCAGGCCATGTGGAGAGCACAGCGGGCCCCAGGCGGTGGCTCAGAGCCCGCGCCCAGACCATCGGGCGCAGAGCAGGGCAGCCAACCGCACAGCGTGAACGGGTCCCCACGCGAGGGGCCCCGCCGCCTGCCTCCTGCGGACACGGAAGAGAAATCTGAACGAAGGTGCTCACAGGACAAAAGACACACCAGGTGTGGGGCGGGCCTGTCCGACAGCACCCACCTCGTGCAGAGCCCCAGTGCAGGGCCCCTGGGTCAGGGGGCAGCCCACCACACCCTGCGTTCCTCGCCATCTGCCTCCTGGGAGGCGCCCACGACGCAAAACTTCAGAAACACCATGTCAGCCCTGTACCCCAAGCTGCCGCCTCGGTCCACCGGCCCCGACAGTCCCTTCCCTCTCCTCGCCCCATCCGCCCCCCTGACAGGCTGACACCGCTGACCATGCTCCCCTTCAGAGAGCCTCTCAGTCCACATGACCCCAAATTCTCGCAGCTCAGAGACCCCCTTCCCTGCCTCACTGCCAGCTGCTCCTGGGGCCCTGCTTCCCCATCCCCCACTTCTAGGAATGGTGCCCCAGGCTCCGCCTCCGGGACTTCGCCGCTGGGCTGGCCCCAGGTAACAAAGACTTGTGCCCACGTCTGTCCTCGCGCCCGCATGACGCCCAGCCCCCAGCGCGAGCGGCGGGGCACCTGACGCCTCAAGCCCCTCCTCTCACCTCGGCACAGAGTGCAATTGTCCTTGCCGCTGCCCTGTCCACCCACAGACACCATGTCCTGCAGCCGCCCAGCCCGAGCCCCACCCCCGCCGGCCCCTCGCCCTCCTGGTCGGGACCGAGGGCTGGGACCAGGTCTGCCCACCGCCCGCCGCCCGCGAGGCCCTGGCTCCCACACTGTCCCAGTGGACGACGGCGGGTGAGGGGCTGGGCAACCCAGCCTCCCGCCGCCCTCGGCTGCCCACACGAGTCGGAGCGCATGCTGCTCACCAGGTCGGACTCGTCCCCGTCCTCCTCCTCCCCGGTGCCTGCCGACTCCTGCTCATCGTCAGACTCGCCGTCCACCTGACCGGCCGCACAGCAGCCAAAGAAAACAGACACGCGTGAGACCCGGCAGCAGCCAGGAAGTCGGTGACAGTCACGCTTTCCTGAACACTGGCGGCGACCTCTGGGGACGCACGAGGGGCCCGTCCCCGCCCACGAACCCCGTCCCAGCAGACTGCTCCCCGTCGCACTCCCGCCCCGTCTGGCGGGCGGGCCTCAACTGCTGACCCGGGAGTGGCCTGGGCGGCGGCGCCCACATCACAGGTCACCGGCTGCACGCTAGAGATGAGTGCTCCTGGAGCACTGGCAGCCGGTCAGAGTGGCACTCGCACACCAGTGAGTAGTTTTCAGAGGCCACAAAATGACAAACTGCACAACCTACCCCCACACCCGCCCAAGAGCCCAGTCCGGGCCCGGACGTCACGCCAGGCGGCTCCTGCTCCCGGTGGCCGATGTCCTCGAGCGGCCGAAACACAACAGCGTGCGGGTCTGCGCAGACGACACCACGCCACACGCAGCTCATGGGTGCCGCTTTCTCCTAATCAGAAGCACGTTGTGGAATTCTCTCCACATCACGACGCAGACACCTTGCTGTTTGTCCTGCTGTTCACCTTTTCTATCCACACAGGTCATACACTTCAATACAGAAGACGCTAAAACGTCCCCTGCTCCGCGGCACGGACACAGCCACACACGCTGGGCCTGGTCCTCGTGGGGCTGCACGCGGGGCTTCATCACGCACACCCTGACCCTCACATTCCAGAACAGCAGAGGTCGTCGGGGACGCGTCGACAGGCCTGTGCCGTCTGCGCAGGACACTCTGCAGGCCCCAGGAACACGGCCCCAGCAGCGCCCACATGGCACCGCCAGCCTCCAAAGGGGTTGCAGGTCCCCAAGGACCAAAGGAACAAGCATGTCCCATGACCTGGCCGCACTGCCCCACCTCCCACTAGGCCTCGGGTGGCCTGATCCGCAGTGCGCGTGCCCTCCAGGCCCTTGCTTTCTCACGGGTCACACGCGCAGCGTCTGTCGCCCACGTCACAAATGTTTCCTTGGTGAAGCCCTTCGAGCTTCGCTTCTGGGACCGCTCCTCGCACAGAACTTGTGACACTCTACCAAGACGAGTCACCATGTCCGCCTTCCCCTCCGTGGGCTCTGCGTCTGCCTTGCACTAGACGAGAAGGTTTTCCTCACTTCAGATTCAAAAAATCGTTTCCAGCATTTTCTTCCACCCCTCGATGTTTTGTGCTGACACTTTAAACTTTCTAAAATTTACTTTTTTAAACAGCAGCTCTGCTGAGATATAACTCACCTTCCCTGAAACCCGCCCTTTCCAACGTGTGCGGCTGGGTGGGCTGCGGGGTGCCGAGCTGGCGACCACACCCCACCTAACTCCGAGTGGGGCGGCCAGGCTGCCACCTGCCACGTGCTGCCACGTGGAGTCCGCCTATCTTCCCCTAAGGGGTCGCTCAGTCGTTCCAACACTTCCTGAAAGGTTCATGGGCTCGTGAGCCCACGCTCACCATGAACTGCATCTTTACACTCGAGGGGCTGGTCGCGGACCCTCCCACCCCTGTACGAGCCCCCCGTTTCAGTCACTGCAGTCAGGGTGCCACCGCCTTCTCCCGATTCCCACCGTGGACAATGCCCCACAGGGTCCTAGAAGGGCTCTGGGTACTGGGCGGGGAGGGGAACAAGACAATAATCTTCTCGTTCTGACAAATAATGGGTCTTTCCATGAACCCGTGTGTTTTCTTAAGCTCTTTCAGCAAAGTTTTAGGTAACAAACATTTGTTAAATGTGTTGCTAAGGCCTGTGGCGATACGGAAGAAGACCAGTTTTCTATAATTATGAGGACACTTGATAATTTTTAGGTGATACTGCGTTTTGTTTTCGGAGTCCTCGTCTCTTACAGAGCCACACTGACACAGCTGCTTCGAGACAATCCGTGGACTGAAGGAACAAGACTGGCCGAGAACCTGCGCGTCTGCGTAGACCGCCACCTCCCATCAGAAAGGCCAGGCTCTTATTTCTGAAATCGCCAGGCTCTTATTTCTGACACTGCCGTCACTGCATGTCCTCACTGGCTCCGCGTCTACACAAGACGGACGGTCTCCCGTGTTGGGCACTTCTAAGCCCAGCTCACTAACTCGAACACTGTCTCAGCTGGCTCCCCCGGGCGTTTTGGGAGGGCGCTTCCACTCTCGGCAGACTCTCCTCCGCGTCTTTCTAGGCATTCGCGTCTCGTCCCGGTTCTCATCCCACATCGGCCCAGCGAGAACGATGGATGCCGCAGTGTCTGCGCTGGGACAGTCTCTCTCTACCGCTGATGTTCGAAATGCTTTACGGTTTTCATCACTAGGCAGAATTACCTTCTTTGTAGAATTCTGATGTCTTCAGTCAGCTTTATTTAATGTAACTTATCTTCAAATTCTGTTGGGTAGTTTATTTTGAAAAGATTTAGCGATGAAACTACCAATTAGAACAGGCAGATTAACAGCTTAGTTAACTCCAGCTCCTTCTGCAACTCCCACAGGAAAGAATAGGGGCGGCTTCACAGGGAGTCAGTCGCTTGATAACTGCAGCACGTGACAGCTGCAAAGAACAAGCCGAGGGCGAAAAACCCGAGGAATCTGGGAAGAGAAGGGACAGTGGCAGCGTAACTGGGGTCCGATGCTGAAGAGAGGCTGAAATGCAAGTGAGCGAGGAAGAGATGGCCCAGGTGCACTGAGGCTCAGCAGGGGTGGCCGGCAGGAGACCCTGACCCAACAGGACATGACTCTGGTCACCAGGCCCAGCCACGGCCTCGGGCGAGGAAGCGGGGGCCAGCTCTCCCTTACCAGCGCCCAAACCACGCAGCACCCAACTGCGGGCCACATGACCAGCCCCTGCAACTGGCTTCTGATCCCAATAAGACAAGGACGCGGACACATCGGTGAGAAGGTGGTCACGCTGGGAGGTCGTGTTGGCAACACACAACAGGAGCTCAATTCCTACAAATGATTTTTAAGAGCACAAACAACTGACCACAAAGACTAATGCTTGGGTCCTAAATAGGCACTCGCAGAACGAGGCATGCAAAAGGGTGCGAACCCCAGACAGTGCAACCTCTCAGAAACGGAGACACGAGTGCGAACTGTGCCGCCGACGCCGAGCCGCTCTCCACGCAGCGGACGACACCCTCGCGACGCACCTACTGACGCCTGCAGCGACGTACCGCTGGGGACGTGCATGTTCCCAGCATCATCTGCAGGAGCCAGACGCCATCCACTGGCCAACGACCGGGGAAGGCACACGGGAGCTGGGAGGGAGCCACACAGAGGGACGAACGTGGTGGTTCTTGAGCATCTGGTCTCAAGACCCCTGTACATTCATAGAAACTACCAAGAACCACGAAGAGCTTCCATGAACGCGTGTCACGCCCATAAATTTACCGTGGTAGAAATCTCAACTGAGAAACGTTCAGGCCGCGACACGACTCGAGTGAGTGAGTTAAAAGGCAACTGATGGCTCTGCATTTTACGACGGAAGTCCTGACCCCACAGACCCCCCAGGAGGTCTCCGGGCCCTGCCCGGACCCCTTTTTAAAAACCAGCCATGCAACAATGGGAACAGACAAGCCAGATAAATAAATCCCACAAACATAGACAGAATAAAATAAGCTACACTGGAAAGAAGAAACGCACACCGCAGTGTCCCATTTATGCAGAGAACCAGAGAGAAGGTGGCCCCGTGGGGTGACCTGGGGGACACCAGGGTGGCCCGCACTGCTCCAGACGAGACCTCGCATTCTGCTTCAAAAGCTTTGCGATATAATTTATACACCATAAAATTCACCTGTTTTGAGTGTACCTACTTCGTATTTTATCACCGAATTCTGTATGAATCGAATGTTTATACACAAAAAATAAAATCCATGAAGCAGCAGAGAACAGCTTATGTCAAGCCACGCAGAGCCACCAGTGAGAAAGGTCTTTTGGTTGTTGCAATTAGAACACAGCACCCAAGTCACAAAGAAGCAGACTTGTGCTGTGGTTGACGCCACAGGCCAGACTGAAGACAAACACAACTTGGGGACCTGAGCACAGCTGACATCGGAGCGACGGACCAGCTGTGCGTCCACACAACGCTGCTGAGATGGCATCACTGAAGACGCACAACTCACAAGAAAAATGGGCAAAAGACAGTTAGCAGGTGGCTCCTAAGACAGTGAACACTGGTGGCCAATGAGCACAGGGGATGCTGCTGGCCTGCTCGGAACCTCAGTAAGACAAACTCCAACAGCGCCGAGTGCCGGGGAAGGGGAGGAAAACCGTCCTGTGCAGCGGGGCACAAACTCACGGGCCATCTGGCAATGCCAAAACCCTACATTTTAAATAGAGACCACACGTGACCCATGGACACAGCCAACAGGAGTGTGGCACCCAGGCCCCTAAGCTTGCTGTAACCACAGGAAGAGGAGCGTGAAGGGCAGGCGGGGCCGCGCGTCTGCGGCCACAGCGAGACCCTCCTGGGTACAGGAGAGGACGGGCCCCCAGCTCCCCGGGGCGCAAGGTGAGGTGGGACGCGCTGGACATGAGACTGAGTCTGCTGTCAGCAGCATCTGTCACCAAGGGACCCAGGAGACTGTGCATCGCCCCGCTCACACTTCTCTGCGTGGAGAAAAACACTAATAAGTATTTTTAAATAAATAACTTCGAAGTTCCCATTAAATCTTTAAAGTTGGCATTTTCTACCAATTAACTTTTGAATAATTACCTTAAGAACTAGGGACAACATTTTAAAATTTGCCCCAAAACCTGCTAAAAAGGTAGAACAGGCATTAATTGGCTAAAAAGGAATCTGAAATTCAAGGAACACTCAGATAACCCCAAACTCTAAAAGCTGAAAGAAAATGCTCTGCAGGGGTCAGAGGCTGTCCCCTCAGAGCACAGATCTGACTCAAAGTGTAAAGAGCTCGTTGACAAAGTCACACGTCTTGACCAAGTCACCTCCAGCAGCTCCCCGGAATTTCTGTGTGTTAGTTTACGGTTCCTGTCACCCAGAACAGCCAAGCTTAAACACGATGGCGAGTTTTCTCAGAAATTCCGACACGTGCAACATTGAGATCACAACCAGCTACGCCCCCTGACTCCCCCGCGTCCCTCCACTCCGACTTGTCCCCGACAGGCCTGAGTCACAAACGCAGCCCAAACATCACCGCACCCCCTCCACGCTCCAGGACACCAGCAGCGCCCAGCCGGCAGGGGCCTTCACACTGCCACCTCCCAGAGCTTGTCCCCTAACGAGGACCCGCTGGGCCCACCCGGGACGACTGCAGGTAACTTGCCAGCAGTTGGCCACGCACTCGCTCCGACCCAGAGGTCAGAGCCGCCCCCGTGTCAGCACCTCACTCACAGAGAGGGGTGCACCTGGTGGGTGCCGGGCCTGAACGAGCCATGGCAATGCAAGCCCAGCAACGAGCAGGCGCCACGGGCACAGCCAGCGTCACCTGACTCCTGTCCACCTAGAGCCTAACGAAGTGCAAAACGGTCACTCCGTGGACGCGCGCAGGAAGACAAGCACGTCTCTGATGAAAACAAGCTACCTAAACATTCCGAGCGGTCACTCAAAGCCCAACCCAGGTGACCAGGCACCTGAAGGAGTCCCAGAAGCACCCGACCGCTCACCCTAGAGACCTGTCACTGTCACTGAGCAGAGCACTGGCGTTGCCTACCTGCTGGGTGCGCTCCGTCCCCGGCACGCCCTCTCGAGAAGCCCTGCCGTCCTCTGTGGGGCAGGCTGCGGCCCGCTCGGCCCCCTGGTCCTCATCCTCGTCCAGCTCCTCTGACTCGTCGTCCTCTGAGTCCATCTCCAGGCTGTCCCCGTTGACGTGCAGGGTGCTGTCGCCCAGCTCCTTCTCGCCCTGGAACATGGGAAGAGCCCAGCGTCAGGAGGGCCAAGGCGCAGGGGGCGGTGCGGGACAGTGGGGCCTCCCACAGGGCCAGCTGCGCGTGCGGCTCCCGTGGCCCAGAGGCCCTGCCGTGCGTGGAGGGGCCGCGCCGCCTCACCTTGGAGCCCACCGTGGAATGCGTGATGCTCTTAAACATCTCCACCACCGTCCTCTGTTTCAGCACTTTGGTCTTTTTCTTGGGAACCAGGCTATAGGTTCCCATTCTTCGCTTTTTCTTCCGAGACACTGCAGCTGCTAAAACAAAAGGCAAGGAAGCTAAAAAAAAAAAGTCAAAAGGGGACAAGAAAAGAAATGCCGTTCAAATGCTGTTTAGAAGCAGGTGACGTTCAGAAAATCTCATCAGCGACATCACCAGCACACCGCACGGCGACAGCGTTTCTTACTCGTCATCAACTGCACAGAGAAGGCACAGAATACGTCACAGGCCGTTCGTTCTCGTGACAATAAAAGACGGAGCGCATGCACGCCAACACGACCCGCTGAGCCGGGAGGACACGCGCCCATCAGAAGCAGGCCCCGGAGCCCCCGCCCCAGACAGCAGCTGGTGGGACAGCGAGGGTCACAGCGAAGGGGCCCAGGGTGCCTTCCTGACCAGTGAACCCCACAGTCCCCAGACACGGCACGCAACGGTGCCCCTGGGGGACAGGGCCCCCAGCGACTGTGCGGCCAAGGACAGCGGGGAGGAGCACCAGAGCAAGGGACGGAGGGGACCGGCCTTCCCAGGTGAGGCTTGCTACAGTACTCACGTCGGCGCTCCGCTGCCGGGAGCAGCCCGCACCCAGCCCCGCAGAGCGCAGACACAGGAAGCAGGTGGACCACCGGGGTGCGCGTGGGACCCTCAGGACAGTCACCGTGGGGTACCCCAACATGCTCGCCAGCGGTGGCTCTGAGCTCTAACTAGTCACAAGGAAACACGTTCTGCCGCGCACGCGTGAGGCCAGGCGCCCGGGCAGCCAGGTGCAGGTGTGCCCAGCATGGGGCCTGAGCCCCTGTCACAAGAGGGGGCAGCGAGCTCTGCAGCCCGCGCAGCCAGGAAGGCACAGACCTTCTGGGGGTGCCACTGCATGGAACTGCAGCCCTAACCTTGCGAGGCAACGCCCCGAACCAGCGCCCACTGCCAGGGCAGGCACACTACTGGGCAGAGAATGGGGTGGGGTCTGCAGAGTAAGGCCGTCGAGGCTGGCCCCATTCCCCTGTGTGCGAACACTGTCGCAAAGGGACGTGTCCACGGGGGCCACGCCAAGTGGACGACACCATGAGCTGTCCTGGGCAGGCACAGAAAAGGTGACTTCTATGCATTTCCTGGAGATGCCAACACCACGAGCCACGGGGGCTGGGGGAGCAGCTGGAATAAACCACGTCGGCTAACTGCGGGAGGTGCACCTAGGGCTGGAGGCCAGTCCACGCGTCCTAACCCACAGCTAACTGCCCCATTCCCATGACCCAGAGGAAGCGGGCAGAGAAGCAGGCTGCGGGAGGACTGGCTGTGGCAAACGGCTGGCCCCAGTGAGCACTGCTTTCTAGAAAATTCAGATTAAAAAGATGATGAAATAATAAAGCCAAAATAATAAAGGAAAACTCTTAACACTTTAACAGAAATACCGACTCTGACGTGACCTGCCAGCTCTCACAAACGTGGGCGTAATTCTGCAGTTTTGCAACATGCCAGACTTAACTGCTTGAAACACGTGATATGGGTCAAAATGGCCAAAGAGCAGAGCGGGGCAGGGCGCGCAGATCCGGCTTCCCAGCTGCCCCGCTCCGCCACACAGAACGGGCCCTGGGCAGGCGGCCACTTCCAGGACCAGACCAGGAAGGACAAGACGGCCGGCACCACCTGTTCCTGCCAGACAGTCCCGACAAAGCCAGGGGGCCACGCCGGAGAACGTGGGAGCCAGCCTGCGGGGCGAGCCTGGGACAAGGGGCGAGTGCCCCGGGACTGGAGTAAGGGCCACTGGCCACGCCTGGGAGTAGACAGATGGGGTGCGGGGGTGGGGAGGCAAAGAGCGAGCTCCTGGCCGGTCGAAAACCCTCTAACAGACGGGTGATGGAGCCAGAGCCCTGGGCGATAGGTCTGGGCAGGTGTCCTCAAGAACTAAAACCACCAGGCGGGACGTGAGGGGACGCAGGGCGTGTACAGAGCCTCCAGTCTCTCCTCCCGAGATCACACTGACCACCTTCCGGCGAACAGAGCTGTATGACCAAAGGACTTGCAGACCGGCCTGGCCGTGGGCAGGACAAACGGCCACCACACACCCCTGAGGAAACAGGACACATGGCCCTCGAGGACGTTCTATAACCTGAGCCTGACCTAGCGAAGCAGCACTAGCCCCATGAGAAACGTTCCAGGAAAAGGAGACAGACAAGACACCGTTGAGCGACTGCTGGACCCTCGGCGGGACCTGGGACCCGAGACCCGAGAGCCGAGAGCCGAGAGCTGAGACCCGACATGCCTCCCTACGCCAGGGAGGGCGTTAATGGGGCACAGAGAGGGGGCTGGATCTCCAAGATGAGCGCCGACCGTGGTGACCACAGCAGCTCCCGGGGACGGCGTCCTCACTCTCAGGCCCGACACCATTTTAGGAGACGACAGGGAAGCGCTCCGAGGTTAAAGGGCCCGACGTCTGCAACCCACGTTCCCGGTTCGGAAACACGTCGCGTGGGGGGAGCACACAGGTGGGCAGCACGGGCGTGGCATGGGGGCCGCCGCTGCCGCCACAAGTTACTGAGAAGTCAAAGGTGTTAATCGTCCAAAGGCGGCTCTGTCACCTGGTGCCACTCCCCAGTCCAGCCTCCCGGGGACACGCCCCACATGCCCGGCGCCCACTGACCTCAGTCAGGTCTGAGAGTGTGCCGGACACGCAGGGAGGCCTCACGTGCTCACCCCGCATCCTCCTGGGGCCACTCACGCAGCCCCGCCTCCTGCAAAAGGCCCCAACACAGGCCAAGTTTGTCCTCTCCCCGACTACCGCCAACAGAGCTCAGGGAGCGAGGTCTGCGCGTGGGAAAGGGGCTGACGACAGGAGACCCAAGCCGCCGCTGTCCACACCTCCGCCCTCCAGTACCCCACAGAATGGTGCCTCCCACGGCACACTCTTTACAAACCGGGGGAGCTGCCAGACCCCCCGTCTCCCCCGAGCCAGAGCAAGGCATGGGGCTTCAGAAATGAAAACTCTTCTCAACACTGACGACGGGAGACAGGGCAGGCGGGTACTGGGGTGGGGGCTGCCACGCAGAGGCCGGGCGGCCCCTCACCCAGAGCACACGGCCGTGCGAGGGGCAGGCTCGTGACCCCCACCCAGACAGCACAGCCGGGAGCTGGGCCCCGCTTACCTGTCTGGGACTTCGTGGTGGCCACGTAGCACTGGTTTTGAGGTAGCGACTGGTGCAGGGCTGGGAAGGGGGGTAAGAGCGGCTGTCGTCCAAACTCAGAAACGCTTTTGCCCATCTCCTCTTTTGGTTCCTCGCGCTCACGACCTTCTCGAACTTCCCTGGGATCCTTACTGGCTGTGTGCTTCAGAACAAAGACAAGCATAACTATAATCAACACGAGCAGGCGGCCACCGAGACCACGTGCCCAAGCACAGCTCCTCTCCCCACAGGCGCCCTCGTCCGAGGTGAGACACTGAGTGGCGAAGCCGCCCCGGCTCCGGGGCATCCGGTCAGTGCCGTGAGGCAGGAACGGCGCGCACATCTTCAGAGGAACAGAAACAGAAGCGGCGGCAGCAGCTGCACGTGGCAGAGCGGCAGGCATCTCCTACCCAGCCCTGTGCGGAGGAAGTGTGCCAACCCCTGATTTGGGTAATAAACTAATACATTACCCAGCTGAAAACACCCAACATGGCAGCCTCAGAAACTCTCCAGAAGTGCCTGTGTGGGGTTTATCACAGCCACGTGGTGCAACATCCCCAATTGCGTAAATGCCACAACAGATAATCACACTACATTTTAAAAACTGTCTTTTGCCGGTCTTCTAAATCTGTCTCCATTCTCAGCCTCCTGAGACTCCAGTGGCCAGTGACACCAACATCCAGCCGCTGGCCCGGCCGTCATCCCAGATGGCCCACCACCGAGAACCCTGAAGTCACCCACGGCGCAAAAGTCGTCTGATCTCAGATCCAACTCGACTTAATGAAATTTATCATGCACACAGTAGGTGCAATAAACAGTAAAGAAATGAGCACCCTTCAATACACGGTGCTGGGCAGAGTGGACTCCCACATGCGAAAGAACGGAGCTGGACCCTTCCTTACCTTACACGAGATACGAAGTTAACTCAAAGTGGATCCAAGACCTAAAACTACAAAACTCATAGAAGAAAACATTTGGGACAAGCTTCGTGACATTGGACTTGGCAGTAATTTCCTGGATATGAAACCAAAAGCACAGACAACAAAAGAAAAAAATAAATTGAACTTTTAAACATTTCTGTGTATCACAGGACACAATCGACAGAGTAAAAAGGCAACCCGAGGAATGGGAGAACATGTCTGCAGATTCCGCCTCTGAAAACAGCTTCACATCCAGGATACACACGAAATTCTACGACTCAACAACAAAACAACCAGATTAAAAATTGGGCAAAGCACCTGAATAGGTATTTCTCCAAAGACATACAAATGGCCAACGAGCACATGAAACATGCTCAACGCCACTAGTCACTAGTCAAAATGCCCATCAAACCCGCGATGAGATAGGATCTCACACCCACTAAAATGGCTACTTCCAAAAAACCCCAGATAATTGTCAATCACACGTACCTCGATTTGGGGGGAAAAAAAGTGTCGGTGAAGATGTGGAGAAAAGGGAGCCCTCGTGCATGGCGGGGGGGGAGGGA